TAATTTTTGCGCTAAAAGTACGGCAATTTTTCCTACCGTAAATACTGTAATAGTTAATGCTTTTACATTAAAGCTAACCGGAACACTGTTTTATGTCTAAAACAGCACGTTTTTAGGGTTCTTTTTTTTCTTTTCATTTTCACATAATGGTGAAACTGGCAAAACGCACTGACCGCTGGTGAAACGATTTGCTTGCGATCAAAAACGTTGCAAAGACCATTGTAATAAGAGTTAAGAATAGATTTTGATTTAGAATTTCAGCTAAATATTTTCGAAAGAAAAAACTAGAGTCTGTCAAAAAGTCTGTCAAAAAAAAGGTTGTTTATATCCAGAAATTCTTGATTACATTTTGACCTTTTCCAAAAAAGTGTCCTTTAGTGAATGGAAAAATCGTCAAATTCTGAAAAAAACACTCTTTTTGCCCTATTTTTGTTTCTCAATAGATTTCAATAGATTAAGAAAAGTCAGAAATAAGTCTATCAAAGTCTATCAAAGTCTATCTATCAGTCTATCAATTTCTATCAAAAAATCAAAGATTTCTAATCTTTTCAATGTTCTGTTGACTTTGAAATGAAAAGGAATTTCGAGAAACGGTGACATTTCAAGTAATTTAGAGAAGCCCAGTGATTTTACTGTACTTTGTGCTTTCGTATTCATAAATGCACACCATCTGGCAAAGCGAATTTCTCTGTTTGAAGATCTTTGAAGGAATAGAGAACAAGCGTGCTAAAAAGCGGGTGTTTGGAAAGCAAAAAATACGCCAATTTTAGGGTCAAAGGAAAATCAGAGGAAATCAGCTGAAACTCATGTTTTGAAGCTGCATAGATCTCTAAAAATCGATAAATGCCAAAGAATCAAAATTCTGATCGCAACTGATCGACTGAAAACAAAAAAAAAGCCTCTCAAAACCCAAAGACAAACATTGATCTTTTAGAAGAAAAGGATGAATCGAGTGGGGAAAAGAGTTCACTGTTTACAAGGAAAAGGAAGAGCTTCAGGAAAAGGAAGAGCTTCAGGAAAAGGAAGAGCTTCAGGAAAAGGAAGAGCTTCAGGAAAAGGAAGAGCTTCAGGAAAAGGAAGAGCTTCAGGAAATGGAAGAGCTTCAGGAAATGGAAGAGCTTCAGGAAAAGGAAGAGCTTCAGGAAAAGGAAGAGCTTCAGGAAAAGGAAGAGCAGATATCAAAGGAATTTGTCCATTCACCCCTAAATGATATAAAAAGTAAAGAATTATAAAGAAAGATTTCCGGTGATGGGATTGAATCCTCGACCTTTTTGATTTCCATTTGCTTTCTAGGCTGATGCTCAGAGCTATTCGGTATCTGTTTGCCAGAGAAGAAAGAAGAAATAAGAAGGCGGAAGGGAAAAGAAGAAAGAGCTCAAAATACATAAACTGGATTGTAACTAGCCAAAAGAATTCGTTCAATGGTTGACTTTAAAACGGATCTCTCACAAAGGAAAGGTTGGCCTTTTGGAAAGGAAAGTTGGCCTTTTGTTGGCCTTTTGACTCGAGATCAACTCCATCTCATAGAATCGGCCATGGGGAACTCGAACCCGTCTTTAGTTTTTTGCAGAACGTTTTTAGTTTTTGCAGAATCTAAATTTCGAACTCCTTAAGAAGCCACCACACGACCGCGCAAGTGGTCACAGCACGACCAGCTGCTTCGATGGTCTAGTGGACAGTCTGCTAGACTACCAAATCGATTACATTCTTTGCCCCAAGTTCGAGTCCTACTCTCGCCAAAAGCTTTTGCTCCTTTAAAACAATGTTTTCCTACGTATTTGCAAATAGATGCAAATAGACAAATGAACAATAGAGTTAAATTTAGCTTTCAGAGTTAGTAGAATAATCTCAAGAATTCAAGAATAATAGAGTTGAATTTTTGCCCTATTTTTTGGCCTATATTTGGCAACAAATGTCAAATTTTTGAATACTTTACTGATTCTTTTACTTTAAAAAGTTTTCTATCAATTTCTCATACTGATTCTATAAATTATTTGTTGAATTTACAGAAAGCTTTTCTAAAACTCGAGTCAATAATTCAATACAAATATGTAGGGAAATTGTTTTTTAAAAAAGCAAAAAGGTTTGGTGAGAGTGGGACTCGAACTTGGGGCAATGAATGTAATAGGTTCCGTAGTCTAGCAGACTCTAGTCTAGCAGACTCTAGTCTAGCAGACTCTAGTCTAGCAGACTCTAGTCTAGCAGACTCTAGTCTAGCAGACTCTAGTCTAGCAGACTCTAGTCTAGCAGACTCTAGTCTAGCAGACTAGACCATCGAATCTGTTGTTAAGGGAGCCTTTGACGACTTCTTAAGGAGTCTGAGATTTTCTTCTTTTCTGCAAAAACTAAAAATGGATTCAAGATCCCCATGATCGACTCTATAAGCTGGACTGGGTCTTGAGGCAAAAGGCCAGCTTGACTCGGTGCTTTTCTTTTGTTAGAGTTCAGATTCAGAGATTTTGACCAAGTGCAACAGTAACTCTAACTTTATCGACCCCAAAAACTCACTTGAATGCAAACTTCCGGGTGATCCCCTTCCCACTTTTGCCGTTCTTCAAGAATTGCTTTACTTCATCCGGTGTTTTCGGTAGCTCTCTGGAAAATGGACTTTACAATGACGCACTTATTGAAGTAAAAACAATTCCCCAATGACTCACTTGTTGTAGTAAAAGCACTCTGTTTCGGCATACGGATTCGCGAATGGGATTTTTCTCTCATTATTGTTGTTGCACTTTAAGAGATCCGATGCGGCATAGTAAAGGGATGAGCTCTCATTGGATGAGGTGAGCTGAAGAGGAATGGGATAAAATATGAGCAATGCTTAAGCTTTTGTAGTTCAAATCTAATGGTGGTTAATCATTTATTTAATTTAATTTGTTAATCAATCATAACAATTCATTTATTATAAGGTTCTTCTGTAATTACTTTTAATTTCAATTTTAATTTCAATTTCTAACTTTAGCAAATCTTAGTCGATCTTTATCGATCTTAATCTATCTTTATCCATCTTAATCTATCTTTATCGATCAATTATCGAATTTACCTGATCCATACTAGTCTTGCAGATGATTGGCTGAGCGTAGACGGAGTCTTGACTCTTGTGTCGTCGAAATGATACCTCCAGTGGTCGTCCATTTTGTAGAATCGAAGAGGATTTGGAGTTCCATCGCGGACTATTCTCATAGTCGTGCGATAGCTAGAAAAAAAACAAAATTTAGGATATTTACATGGTGCGGCATATATACGACAATTAAACATAAAATCTACGCTTTATTTTACATAGAATAGAAGGACTGCAGCATTTTTTTAATGACTTTGACAACCCTAGCCAAGCAGTACCAAAAAAAATGCGGCACGATGCTGAGAAACTTGTTAAATTCGAGTTTGGGATCTCGTAAATCGTTCTATTTCCGGCTTTTTCTACATTAATACGTTTTTAGAGTTAATTACTATAAAAGTAGTGCTTTTATTGCACTGTAACCGGTTCTAGTTTTAAAGCTTTAAAGGAGCTTTAAGGAAGCTCTAAAGGAGCTTAGGATTAATTAGGAACTATAAAGGAGCTTTAAGGGAGCTTAGAAGGAGCTTTAAGGGAGCTTTAAGGGAGTTTTAAGGGAGCTTAGAAGGAGCTTTAAGGGAGCTTTAAAGGAGCTTTAAGGGAGCTTTAAGGGAGCTTTAAAGGAGCTTTAAGGGAGCTTAGAAGGAGCTTTGAAGGAGCTTTGAAGGATCTTTAAGGGAGCTTTAAAGGAGCTTTAAAGGAGCTTTAAGGGAGCTTTAAAGCAATTAAATACAGGAAAGATATGGCCCAAAAAAGCGAAGCTACAGGAAAGATATGGCCCAAAAAATGCGAGGCAAGGCGATGATTTGAGGTTTTGTCAAGGCTCGTTGATAAAATCAAGTTTGAGATAAGCCTTGGAGACAGAACTTTTCAAAAATGACTTTTCAAAAATGACCTTTTTTTGTTCTATTCCAAGCTTAGAGCATTTTAAACCAGCCTTAGCTCTTAATCTATCTCTTAATCTATCTCTTAAGCTCTTAATCTATCTCTTAATCTCTTAATAACAAGTTCCGATTGAAGAAACAAGTCAATTGAGCTCCTAATTGTTGTAGAAACTTCAAACTTTAAGTACTATTTTTATAGAAATTAAAAGAAATGGAATCTGATCGACAATTTTGATAGAAAACATCTACAATTTTGAAATCTGTGCCATTTCTCTTACCTGAAAATACTTTGGTTTCCCTTTCAGTTGAATCGGTGTCACTTTTGCGTGGTGTTGATGTTTCAAAGTTCCTCCATAGGGCTGAAAATTTCGAAATCTTTGAGAGATGAAGCAAAAACAAGTGCTATTCAATGGTGAATGAGCTCTCAAAGCAGTCAAATTTGCTGAACTCCTCAAATTTTCAAATTTCGAGCGGATATTCGTGACTCACATTTGATCATCAGTGTCACTTTTCACAGACAAGAGTTTTTCTAGAGTCTTTTTCCCAAGTTCCTGATCATCATTTGGGGAAAAGGGGGAACCGTTATCGCTTTGGTTTCCCTTTTTGATCTAAGAAAAGAACTGGGATTGAAAATCCAAGAAAAGAAGTTACGGGTGGGTGTGGATGGATAGGGCAAAGGGGAATGGGGAGAGGAGGGGAGGGGAGGGGTAGGGGTAGAGGTAGAGGTAGAGGTTGGGGTAGGGGTAGGGGTAGAGGTAGAGGTAGAGGTAGGGGTAGGGGTAGGGGTAGAGGTAGGGGTAGGGGTAGGGGTAGGGGTAGGGGTAGAGGTAGAGGTTGGAGTTGGGGTAGGGGTAGGAGTAGGGGTAGAGGTATGGGTAGCTGTATGGGTAGGGGCAAGGATAGGAGCAAGGCTGGGGTAGGGGTGTGGGGTTCTCGATCGCTCAATCCATCCAATCTCTCCAATTTCCAATTTTTTCCCCTATAAAAGGTGGCACCTAGTGTTTCAAACTCAACCCGGAATCGACTCTCATTCCACTCCCCCAAAAAAAACCCCTCCTACAATGCTCCCGATCGTTCTTGTCGCCCTCGTTGGAGCAACTTTGTAAGTTTTCTTGATTTACCTTTAAACATTTTCAAGATTCTTTTCAAGTTTACCTTAAACTTCTTCAAGTTTCTTGCCTAACTACCTAGCCAAGCAATAACTAAATACCTTTCTTTCATTCAATAGCTAAACTTTTGACTTTTAGCTACTGTAGTGGAGTCTGGAGTTTACAGTAACAGTGACGGTAATTGTGATGTACTTATTGCAAGCTTTGCAGTTTAAAACTATCAGAATTGGATCGGCTCTTGGGTAGTTTACGGGACTTTTGAAAGTTTAGAGGACTTTTGGGAGTTTAGGAGACTTTTGGGAGTTTAGGGGACTTTTGAATGGTTAGCCAAACTCTAAATGTCTATAACTTACGATAGAGGCAATATAATCGTCTACTTTTGATAGATTTTAAAAGAACACATTCTAAGCTTTCAAATGAGACCAAATGGAGCTAGATTGAATATATCAGTCTCGAGAAAATCGAATTACTAGCGACACAACGAGTCGTTGTGTCACTAGTAATTCGATTTTTGATCCAATCTAGCTCCAATCTAGCTCCATTTGGCCGCCTTTGAACGCCTAGAATGTGCTCTTTTAAAATGTATAAAAAATAGACAAATCTGTTGTCTCTGTCGTAAATTATAGACATTTAGAGTTTGACTAACCATTCAAAAGTCCCCTAAACTTTCAAAAGTCCTCTAAACTTTCAAAAGTCCCCTAAAGTCCCAAAAGTCACCTAAACTTTCAAAAGTCCCTTAAACTCTCAAAAGCCACCTAAACTTTCAAGAGTCCCCTAAACTTTCAAAAGTCCTCTGAACTTTCAAAAGTCCCCTAAACTTTTAAAAGTCCCCTAAACTTTCAAAAGTCCCGTAAACCGTAAACCCAAGAGCCATTTGATCTTTACAAATCTTTGCAACCTTTACAATCTTTTACAATCTTCTAGGGCTATCGATGATCAATCGAAATTCGCCGCCGACATGCCAGGCCCAATGGGATTCAATCCATCACTTGGTGGAGGATCCCTTCCTGGACCCGGTGGAAACTTCGGTGGACCCCAACAAGACCAATTCGGCGGAAATGGACCAGTTGGACCAATTGGCGGAGGAATGGGTGGTAATGTGGGACCAATCGGTGGAATTGGTAGCGGAGTGAACCCCGGATTTGGTGGAATTGGTAGCGGAGTGAACCCCGGACTTGGTGGAATTGGTAGCGGAGTGAACCCCGGACTTGGTGGAATTGGTGTAGGGCCAATCGGTGGCCAACTCGGCGGTGGGAACTTCGGCCCAGTTGGACCCGGCGGAAACTACGGCGGAAGTGGTGGTTACAACAAGTACGGCAACAACAACTACGGTGGAAACAGCTACGGACCCCAGCTTGGCAGCTACAGCCCACCAGTGAACACCTATGGCCAAGGAGGGTACAGAAGACCCAGCTATGGACGTAAATAAGTATTAATTCGTTGTTTTTTTTGCAAATTTTATGATTCGATCTCGATACGAGGTAGCTCTCAGATTGGGAGCCTGATAAATATTCTGGTGAAAAGTTGGTGAAAAGGCAATTGATACGGGATAAAGATAAAGGATTTGGTAACGATTCGGTGAAATAATGAAACCGGACTTTGGTAGCTATTCGGATTTTGGTAGCTCCACCAAGTTTATAGACTTTATAGAGCTTTTATTTGACAAAGTATGCCTTTTGACTTTTCCTGGCACCGCTTTGAACAGCTTAAAAAGTTGGCAGCTAAAAAGTTGGCAGTTTAAAAGGTGGAAAGTTAACAAGTTAGAAAGTAGTTGGTAGCAATCAAAATTGTGTGATCAATATTTTAGAGCTTGATTAAAGCATTTCAAAGATGCCTAAAAATCTATATTTCCGTAGACTTTGCAAAATTAAAGAAATTTGAAGTCCGGTTTCATGAAGTTTCATGAAGTTTCATGAAATCCGATCTCATTGTTGTCATTCTAATATTATAGTTCGGTAGGCATGCTAGAGTGAATCGAAAATAGCAATAGACAAAACACTAGACAAAACTGACAAGATCTTTTGGATTGGAGGAGAATTTGAGAAAGCTATGGCTTAGGCAAGGTTAGACAAGGTTAGACAGACAAGGTTAGACAAGGTTCTCTTGTACAAGACAAATACAGTAGGCTTTATGCCAGATTTTACTATAGACGCTCTAATATTTACTGGGTTACAAGTACTGTACATACTGTATGTACATGCATACTATACGTACACACTGTACGTACATACATACTGTACGTACAAGATACTGTACGTACATACATACTCCACGTACATACATACTCCACGTAAATACATACTCCACGTACATACATACTGTACAAGATACTGTACATACATACAGTACTATAGTACATAAATCTATTGTACAATCAAGTGCATGGAGGCTATAGACAATCAATGTCAAAGTACATGGAGGTCCACTGGCTGGCTACTTTGGCATGAAGCCTACCGTATTTGTAGAGTAAGCTTGTACAAGAGAACCTTGTCTAAGCTAAAGCCACAGCTTGCTCAAATTCTCCTCCAATCCAATAGATCGTGTTAGTTTTGTCTAGTGCTTTTTTTTTGTAAATATAACTGATTTCTTTGATCAAATTCGATAAATGCCATGTTAAGGCTAAAGCTTGCACCTCTGAGCTAGAAAAGCTGAATTTTTAAAGTCAGTAATGATTTCTGCAAACATCCTGTACTCCGAAGAACCATCAGCATCCATTCACTTCGCTCATTCACTCAAAACAGTCATTCACTCACAACAGTCATTCACTCACAACAGTCATTCACTTCCGTGTCATTTTTCCCACTTCCTAATCAAATATCAATTTCGAAATTTGTTTCCCGAAAAATCTTATCTAGACATTTTTGATTAGAAAAACCCAAATCTCTCTCATTTTTTAGGGAAAATCTTCGACTGTGCATTCGGCCCACAGTCGGGTGGAAAGTCAAGGTCAAAAAGGGCTCTACTCATGCAATTCGCGCACTAAATCTCAGCTATCCAAGCAAGAATGTGAAAAACTTTCAAGAAATCTTGAAAATGGATTAGAAAAGGATTCGAAAAGGATTAGAAAAAGGATTAGAAAAGTTTGCGGAAAGAAAATGAGTGAAATGAATTTTTTACGATGAGCTGCCACTCATTTACAACACGAAACTAGAAGTTTCGTCTCACAAGTTGACTCACTTGCCTCAATAGTACATACTGTACTGTACATAGTGTACAACTAACGATACTCTAGACAGTTAAAGATACTGTAGACGGTTAGGAATGCTGTAGAGTCTCAATATCATCTTATATTCAACTCGTAAGACTGAATGCTTGTAGAAATTCTTTGATGTTTAGTATTAGAGTGGGAATGGAAGCAGCATATCTTTCCAAAAATAAAAAGATTCCAAGCCTCAGCCAATAAGTGTTGGAAAGTCCAGAATCTCCTCTACAAAATAGTGTTTAAAAGATTTTGAATTGAATTGATTATTGAGGACTTGGGTGACTTTTAAGTTGAAAGGTCAAAAATGAACCTTTTCTGGAAAATTTCTTTCTAATAATAGCCATGCCCAGGTTCTCCGTTAGAAAATACCGAGAATTAAAGTTATTAAAGAGTGAAATAAAAGAAAAGGACTCTAGAGCTCTAGAAAAGAACCCTAGAACTTTGTCTTCTAGAGCTAAATGCTTGTTTTTCGAAGAAGCTCCATTTTAGGTACTCTCAACTTTAAATTCTCATATCTCGATAGAATCTAAGCTAGTCGTTTAAGCTTTAGTATAAATATTGAGCAATGTTTATCCTTAATATACTCGAAAAATTTCAGGAGGAAACATCCGTGGAAGCGATAGTTACCAGCAGGCGCAGGTACTCAGGTTGAGACTCGACCTGCGATTACTTTTTAACACTCAAGTCCCCAAGAATGAATCTAATTCAAAGTCTTTTTGCGCTATTTGGTAGAGGAGATTGAAGGCTTTCGAACAATGCACAACACTTATTGGATGAGCCTTGAAATCTTTTTATTTTGAGCAAAATATGTGAGCGCTAGTTTCATTCCTATCACCCTAATAAATAACTTTTCAAATGAAATAGCAAAAGACTTATCGGCTAAACTAATCGTTAACAAAAATGGATTTTTTTTCATATAAACGCTAATTTCTAATCCTATTACCCTAATATTTTATTTGAATATCAATTTGAAATTTGGTTTTTCGGCCACTCTAATGGGATTCCATTTTCACGGCGCCACTCCTGAGACATTCTTTCCCACAATGGTTGCCTCAGCTCATGGGCTTTGGTATAAAATGGGAGTCAGTATGCAAAAGATTCTGGTTAGCCATGGAACTGGATTTGTTTCAGCAATAGACATTTTTCAGCTTATCGGTGGAATCTTCGTGATGACAATGCTTAAAAGAAAAAATTTTGGAGCTTTAGAAAAGGGCCTTTAGAAAAGGGCCTTTTCGAAAACGCGTTTAGAAATGAGCACTTTTTAGGAAACATGATTTGAACGATTTGATTTGATGAGAGCACAATCTTCTTCTCTTCTGATCGATCTTCAGATATTCTACATCTTATCACAATATTTTTATTCCACACAGAAGCTAATAAGAAAAGAAACTAAATTTATAGTAACTCTTTAGACGAATTACTGCTACATTTTAGCAAACTGCTTTTATTTTTAAAGCGTGAATCTAAAAGGGATTTTGCACGTGCGTAAACAAAGATTGCTTACTAAAATACTAAAAGTTACTTATAATTTAACGTAAATATTGTAATAGAACGCCTCTCGCATTGTCTAACTTCTTTTTAGAAAATGATGTTTTTCTCAGCTCCTAGATTTTCCTCAACTACACTTTTGGTACCGAAAAATACTAGATTTCAAGGGCTATCATTTGACATTAAAGCGAACACTGTAGCAACGCGGAGAAAAGGACATTCAAAGTTAGACTACGCGGCTATACACCTGTCATTATCGGAGTGGCGTTCTGTTAGAGTATTTACGGTATTTCCAATCTCAATCCGATCAAATCATTCTCAAACTAACTTTAAAAGAAACGGATCTAAACGTTTAAACTATCCTTGATCCAATCTTTTTTCCAATCTTTTTTCCAATCTTTTTCCCAAACGAAAGTGAAAACGGAAACTTTCCCCGATTTATCGAAAAATGTCAAGTTCGAAAGTTTGAGTCAGCCGATCGGCTCTTTTAATTTCATTTCTCTCGGAGGGTTGATCCCAAGTTTCCCAAATTAAGTACATCAATACATCAACCCGCCGAAAATGGCACCACAGTTCAACTCTAGCTAAATGTGTTTGAAATTAGCGAAAACAATGCTGAAATCACAACAAAGCAGATCAAATCCAGCAGATACACTCACGCAATCGACAAAAACGCAGTGTCACAGTTTTTTTTTAAAAGCTCAATTCAGCGAGCTCTCGATCTTAATCTAGATCTTTTCGCTTTTTTTCAATGATTTTCAATGATAATCTTTTTCAAGGCTGATAGCCATTGAGGGGATATAAAAACGTTTAAAGAACCGACTTTCTCCGAGCGTCTCCACAAAATACAGTAAGATGAAGTGTCTGTTAGCTGTTCTCTTTGCCGTTCTTCTTGCCATTGCCAGGTATTATTAATTATCTTTGGTTAGATGAGTTTATATTACTTTAAAAGAATATAGAATATTTTAAAGCTTGTTTTGAAATTGTAATTTGATAATATTAAGACAACATCGTGCAAATACTTAATCCATCCACCCAATTCTTGCTGAAGAATTCAAATCAAATTCAATTCTAATTCAATTCTAATTTCAATCCAATCAAATTCAGTGCCGCTCCACAAAGGACAATCATCCAGAAGACGATAATCACAAGACCCGGCTTTGGAAATGGATTTGGTCAAAGCCGCAATCAATTCGGTCAACCGGGTTTCAATCAAGGTTTTGGACCCGGTGGATTTGGAAATGGATTCAACCGAGGTGGCGGTTTCAATCGAGGTTTGTATTAGATACAATCTGACTAGGGAACTGCTTCAAACTTAGCATCGATGGGATATGGGACCTAGGGTAGAAAGGCTATCTTGAAATTCTAACTAGGGAACTGTTTCAACTTCAACTTCGAAGCCAAATTGAACCCGCGAGCAGAAATGGCATAATTTCGTAGAGTAGCGCATAGTTTCGTAGACTATTCCCTAGGTTTTCTTTAAAAAGGAGTCATATCAAAGTCATAATCAAAAAGGCAACGCTCGTATATAAGCCGATGCTCGCGTTTTTTCAAGCCGATTTTTTGCAATATGGAACTGTTTCAACTTACCACCGGTTTTCGAAACCTGGAAGCGGAGTTGAACAGCGGAAATGGTATAGTTTTGTAGACTAGCGCACTATCCCCTAGGCTACCACCGCTCTTTCTTTCTTCCCACCCTTTCTTTCTTTCTTCCCCTTATAGGCGAGGTGATAGTAGCATCTAGTTTTTGAGAAAAATGCTTTACCAGTTTGGCTCCTTTTCGGGAAACGGCTCCACCGCGTTGTAACGCTGAATTATCTCGCCCTGATCAGTGACTGAGTGGTGTAGCCTCCCTGGCCCCTGGCTTTTCCTGGTTCGAATCCCCTCACTGTCAGAACTCTTTTGCTGCTTTTTTAAAGCACTAAAAGCAACATTTAAGTGTTTTAAAGTGTCTTTAAACAGTAAGAAGCTAAATAGGGCTCCTGAAAATGGCAAAAGATGTTCCCTAGTATTTCCCTGTTCCCTAGTGTTCCTCTGTTCCCTAGTGTTCCCCTGTTCCCTAGTGATGTTCCTTCAGCAGTTCCCTAGTGAACTTTTGAAACAAAGACCTTCATTTTCATTTATCCACTAAAATTTAAATATTATGCTTATCTTGCCTAGTGTCAGCTCTAGTATAGCAAGAAAATCTAGGTCCAACCATCATCAAAGAGACGATCTTCCGACCCGGCAAATAAACTCGATCTCCAACTTTGATCTAATTCACGAAAATACTTTTGAGAAATTGATTTTGATAAATATTTAATTGCTAAACCGTTTAACTATTTTAACGTTTCAAAAAAATAACAAATTGAAATGTATATTGGGTTTATCGCATGTGGAAAAAACAGTTTTCTTAGCAGAGTTCGAAAAAATCATTGCACAAACGATACAGAGCAAAATTTCGCCGATTTTATTGAACCCTTGCAATTTGTGAACAATTTGTGAACAATTTGACGAACTCTTATCAAAACTCACTTCAAATAATGTCTCGAATTTGTCACCTAGCACTATTATTTTTAAAAGAAAACGAGAAAATCCGGATCAAGAGGGAGAGAGATCAAGATATCGGGGTAATTGGTATCGCTCATCTCTCAAAAAATTCCCGTCCTTTCTCTTTTTTTCGAAATTTTTCTAATTTTTCTAACAAAACTCAACTTTTTTCCATTTCATTCCCAATGTCAAAGTATAAAAGCTTTCAAGAAATGGCAAATCAACGAGCTATTCTCAAAAATGAAATTGTTTGCCTCTCTTATTGCCTGTTTAATCGCTTTCGTTAGCGCGGCACCGTAAGTGTTTTGAAGATTTGATAATCAAATGTCACAGATTTAGCTTTGTTTTACTTTACTTTACTTTACTTTGCTTTACTTTACTTTACTAGGTATTACTCGGTTTTATCCTATGAAAACCCAGCTCCATAATTTCACATCGTAGGGTTTGAACTTGGATTTATATAAGAGCGTCGGCTTATAAATGAGCGTCGGCTTATATAAGAGCGTCGGCTTATATATGAGCGCCGGCTTATCTATGAGCGTCGGCTTATATACGAGCGTCGGCTTATAAATGAGCGTCGGCTTATATAAGAGCGTCGGCTTATATATGAGCGCCGGCTTATCTATGAGCGTCGGCTTATATACGAGCGTCGACTTATATACGAGCGCCGGCTTATATAAGAGCGTCGGCTTATATATGAGCACCGGTTTATATAGGAGCGTCGGCTTATATACGAGCGTCGACTTATATACGAGCGCCGGCTTATATACAACCGCCGCCTTATCTACGAGCGTCGCCTTATATACGGCTTTAACAAAAAGCCCATCTACTACAAACGATTCACCCATAAGTAGCAAAATTTGTAACAAAATTGTAAAAAAATCCTTGGGTATTAAATGATACAAATGATTTTTGGCACTAATGAACGATTTGCTGACGAAACAGTGACTTTTAGTTGAGTTCGAGATAGGGCGACTACTTTACGCCAAATTCAATTCACCATAACTTTCTTCTAAGTCCGTGAATCTTTATAATTTTAATGTGATTTTGTAGATCTCAACAAGTGCAACAAAATAACATTAAAATCATAAAGGTTAGCCGATTTAGAAGAAAGTTATGGCAAGTTCAGTAAAAAAAATTTGGCGTAAAGTAGCTAGCCTCAGTGATTAGAAATCCTAATGAAAAATGAATGAATTTATGAAAAACTACCCTGATCTTGTCTCTAGTTTTATCTAATTTATTTACTTTTTTATCTTTCAGCACAGAATTAAAGCAAATCTAACTAGAAAAAGAAAAGAAAAGGTTACGATGGCTTTCTAAAGGTTGATAGGCTTTAGAAAACCATTTAGTTCATTTGATTTCTGTAAGCCAATCTTTTCAAACACTAGCAAATCTGTTATCTATAAGAAAAATCCACCATTATTGCTTTTTAAATGATAAGCTTTAAGATGAGCTTTAAGATAAGCTTTAAGATGAGCTTTAAGATGTGTACTGTAAAGCACTGTAAAGCCTGTAATGTACTGTAAAGCACTGTAAAGCCTGTAATGTACTGTAAAGCCAGTATGTAGAATAAAAAGTACTTCTGAGCAATGATTGACAATTTCTAATACAATTAAAGAGTTTGAAAGCAGAGAAAGCCTGGCTGAACGTTTAATTCCGGCTTATTGTAGTGAAGAAAAGACTGAACCAGATTCTTGTATTGTATTTAAATGTGAAATGACAAACAAGAAGAGATCTAAATGATAATCAAGAAGAGATCTATTATCTAAAAGCTTATGGTTAAATTTCCAGTCAATGGGGCAACATGGGAATGATGGGACGAGGCAATATGGGAATGGGAATGAATGGATTCAACCGCGGCTGGGGAGGACAACCGAGCAGAACGGTGATCATTCAGAAGGAGATCATCCGACAACCGGGATTCGGTGGTGGTTTCAACGGAATGGGACGAGGAGGATTCGGATGGGGAAGAAAATAAACTGAAAGAGATCAACGCCCAACCATCGCTGAAGCCCTTTCTGCTTAGCAATTCGCTCAAACATCGCTCAAAAATCTCAGCATTTTTCATTTCCTTGCCTATACATAATAAAGAATGATCTTAATGTTGTACAACTAGAAGGAAAACTGGCTGGCTTTCCTAGTGTCGCGAGAAAAAACTCAATTTAAACGCGACCTCCCACGGCGCCTAATGGCCGAGTGGTTAACACGGTCGCACACAGTGCGGGGGTCAAGGGTTCGAATCTCCCTCCGGCCAGAGATTTTGCTTTTTTTACCAAACGGAAAGAAAAAGGGAAGACTAATAATAAAAATAAGCTTTTAAGCAAAAAAAAGCGCTCCAACCTTGCACTGAATTCGACTATGTGCTGTCCCCACACCACAAGCGGGAAAACCGGTTTCCCGCTCATCTATTTCATATAACTCTTACATATGCACATCTATTACACATAAATATATAACTTAACAACGTTACAGTAACTCGTGCCACCGTATGCTTAAAGGCAACATCAAGTAAAGGAGAGATAGAAATTTTCTACGGCAATCAGATTACGGTATGCTTAGGGCATGCTTCAGAGTACCTATCAACCTTCGGAATTGCAAGTAATTGCATTGAATTGCAAGACAAAGCAGTTCAACAATTGGGGAAACTTCTAGAGATAAAAGGCTTCTTTCTTTCTTCTCTCTATTTCGGTTTAATTACCCAAGTTTTTGGCCTGGTAGTGGTAGGCCTGGTGAATTGGAAATTGTGACGATAATTGAAAATTAATGACAAATCCGGATTCCCTAACCTTGAAAAGCCTTAATTACAAACTTTCGTATTGATCAGGCGCTAAAATCATCTTAGTCTCAGCGATGAAAACACAGAAAAATGGCATTGTCACGCATCAAACAAACCCTAGACATTATCGAGGCCTCCTCTGGAGAGCATGAAGAGCATCTTGATGAACATGGAGCTAAACTAATTTTCTATCATCTTTTGTTTACTTGTTTTTACCACTTGTGCACAACTTTGTCTCCATGTAGATATCATGTTCAAAAGTGCGTTTCGGTTTCTTCGGTGGAACGTTGAATCTAAAAATGAAGATATTTGATTTTTTTGATTTCGATAGACTCTATACTTATTGATAAAGTAATATAGAAAAAAGTTAGCAAAAATTGAATGCATTGAAACAATCAGTTGAAATGGTTACTTACAAATTCAAACGTTCCTCGGGTGAGGCGGGAGTGCTTTTTGAGAGCATCAATGGCGGACGGGGTTTTTCCTCAAAGAGAGATCATGTTCATAAAGTTTTGGGCTTAAAAATGCAGAATTTTTTAGCTTCTTCAGTTTAGCCAGATTGATTAGACTGACTGTTGTACAGGGTGACCGCGAATTACAACTTTTTATAGCAAATTCTAGCGACAACTTTGGAAAAGTAGTTGGGAAAAGTCTAATTTCATTCAAAAGTGGCAAGTGTTATATAGGGATTAGTAGCTCTTAATCTTGGCTACATTTGCCTACCAAAACTTCTCGATTAAACTTATACAACTCATTTAACAAGCGCTTGAATGAGCGCTAGTCGACATCTCTCTATCTCTGTCATTTGGTCGCTTTTTCCTATTAAAAATTGTTAAGAATAGCTTTTCAATGCAAAAAAAAATAACGTTTAACATCACTTAATAACATTAAGAACCACATTTAACTCTTTTGGCTGAACGTTATAATCAAATTTAAGTTGTCAAGCTCCAGGAGCAGGGAAAAAGGTGAAAATTGAGTATTTTCGATGCATATCTCGTTATATCAGCTGTTCTGGCTCTATAAACTTGTTGAAAACAATTTCTTAGACAAAATTACCACAAATTTGATTGAAAATAAATTTTTGAATGGAATTTTTATGTAGAAGATCGCAAAAAATGACAGATTCAAGATTCGAGATTCGACTAGCGCTCATTCAAGCGCTTGTTAAATGAGTTGTATAAGTCCAATCGGGGAACTTTTATTAGATAAATGTAGCCAAGATTAAGAGCTACAATTCCCTATATAACATTTGCCACTTTTCAAATAAATTAGACTTTTCCCAACTACTCTTCCAAAGTTGTCGCTAGAATTCGCGATCACCCTGTAGTTAATACTGTTGTAAAAGAGCTGCGATAAATTATCTGAAAGTCTAACAGATCTATCTAAAAAGAAGCAAAAAAGCAAGGTTTTTATCGCAAAAGTTGGTTTAAATGATGAAATCTTTGGGGGGTGGGACAAATGCGACCTTTTTTGCTGGAAAAGGCCTTAGGCAAGGCCGTAGAGCTTCGAAAATATTTCCATATAAGGGAATCGTATGCGTAGATTCCGAATTTCGACAAATCAGACCTCGCTGACACGTCAAATTTGGGCTAAAAGGCAAAAACTACGCAACTTAACGCTTTTCCGCAGTTTTTGCCTTTTAGCCCAAATTTGACGTGTCAGCGAGGTCTGATTTGTCGAAATTCGGAATCTACGCATACGATTCCCTGATATGGAAACGTTTTTGAAGCTCTACGACCTCTCCTAAGGCCTTTTCCAGCAAAAAAAAAGGTGCGCAAATGTCCAGGTGCGCAAAAAAAGGTCGCATTTGTCCCACCCCCAATCTTTGTCTTGAAACAATCACTTACATCTTTCTCATGAAGACTCAACCGTTCGAAGAACAATTTCCGCTGTTGAACAGAATATGGAACAGTGGTAGTGACAAGCATTTGAACGTCAAAGCATCTGAAAATTAAATTTAACAACAGTTTTGAAATAGCATCATAAATCAGAGAAAAGTTTGTTCCAAATCCTCAAAAAAACTCTAAAAACTGATTTTTAAACGCTTAGGTGTAATTTTCGCCAAAGTTGGGAAAGTTTTCCAAAGAATTTTGTGGATTTTGGTCTTTTTTTTGGTTGAAGAAAGAATAATCCGCTCTTTTCGATCCAGAAAATGATCTGACGCAATGGTTTTTTGAAAGTTTTTGAATCAATTGAAAGAGGGATTGGCATTGATTTCTTAAAAACAAAACTTTAAGCTGGTTTTTGAAGATTTAAAGAAACAAATGCGCTAGAAAATGGGGCGTTTCGCGAGTACAAAGCACAACAATGCAAAAACCCTGAGCAACAAAATCTCATTTGGGAATCATTTACAAAAGAGAAATCAATAATTTTGTTAGTATTTATAGAAAAATGAGCAAAACTGAGCAAAAACTGAGCAAAACTGATCAAAAGTGAGCAAAACTGGCAAAAGTGAGCAAAAGTGAGCAAAACTGGTCAAAACTGGTCAAAACGGAGCAAAACTGGTCAAAACGGAGCAAAACGGAGCAAAACGGGTCAAAACTGGTCAAAACGGAGCAAAACTGGTCAAAACGGAGCAAAACGGAGCAAAACGGGTCAAAACTGGTCAAAACGGAGCAAAACTGGCAAAAGTCAGCAAAAGTCAGCAAAAGTGAGCAAAACTGGCAAAAGTCAGCAAAAGTCAGCAAAAGTCAGCAAAAGTCAGCAAAAGTCAGCAAAAGTCAGCAAAAGTCAGCAAAACGGAGCAAAAATGATCAAAACGGATCAAAACGGATCAAAACGGATCAAAACTGAGCAAAACTGGTCAAAACGGAGCAAAACGGAGCAAAACGGAGCAAAACGGGTCAAAACTGGTCAAAACGGAGCAAAACTGGTCAAAACGGAGCAAAACGGAGCAAAACGGGTCAAAACTGGTCAAAACGGAGCAAAACTGCTCAAAAATAAGGCTACAATCTTAAATCTAGAATCTAGAATCTCTTAAATCTAGTCTAGACAGTAATTTGCGCTAAAATTTGTCGGAATCCAGTAAAGACAAAATCTTTTCGCAATACCGTAGATCAAAAAGACTTTACTTGATTGTTGATCATTTAGTATCAGAAAAATTCGGTCTAATTATCAGTACTCAACAAGTTTTAAAGATTAACAAATAACGTATTAGTCAAATAACGTATAACTCAATTTGTTAATCTTTAAATGTTAATCTTTAACTCTTTTTAAGGATCTCCTTGTTTTCTTCTTGGAAATCGACTTCAAAATAATCGATTTCTTGCCCCATACAGTCCCCATTCAACTCATCCATTTGCGGGGAAAAAGAGTCAATCCCAAAGAAATCCCAAAGAAAGTCTCTCCAAATAATTGTTGCCCCAAAAAAGTCTTCCAGAAAAACACTCATCCAACTCCAGTACTGACTCATTTCTATTCAAAAAATTGCCAAAATTTGAACTAGAAATTTGAGAGAACTACGAAAAAAATGAGAAATCGTTTCCGAAAAAAAGAAAAGACTGGAACTTTGTTTTGGCAAGGGCTTGGGAAAGATTTGAGGGAATTATTGAATATTTGAAAGCAAGAGAATATTTGAAAGCAAGAGAATAAAGCAAGAGAATATTTGAATTGGTAAGTGAAATTCGATTCAAGATTAAACTCAAAAATCGATTTCAATAGTGTTTTTTTTAAAGTGTTGAACTTAGCAATCTGCTGAGACAACAAAAACATTTGATCAATCAGCTTTTCTGAATCAAAAAGCTTATCCCGTTCGCTCTTTGCCCTCTGGAACACCCAGATTTTGTTATTCTTACTTGTGATTACACTAAAAATGAAAAAAATCAGTGCACTAGAACGTGCACAAAAATCAGTGCACTTGTCAGAGCATAAAGTAAGAATGATATGAAAGAAATAAACGAGTTTTCAAAACTCGAAGGTTTTGAAGAAAATCTCCGAATTGAGGTGCTAAAATGGCACCGTTTTCGAAGATTTTAGATCAGATTTAAGGCGAGAAGGGCAAAATCTACGAAAATATGAAAAGGAGGATAACAACAAGGATTGAAGAAGAAGGAGGAAAAGAAAAGAAGAATAAAAAGGAAAGAAGAAGAAGAAAGAAAGAAGAAGAAGAAAGGAAGAAGAAGAAGAAAGGAAGAAGAAGAAGAAAGAAAGAAAGAAAGAAAGAAAGAAGAAGAAGAAGAAAGAAAGAAAGAAGAAGAAGAAAGAAAGAAGAAGAAAAGGACAGGCTCAAGATTTCGATCGGTCTTTTTGAGGAATATGGCTTTTCCGACGAGGAGAATATAGGTGGAAATCTACATTCGAAAAAGGCTCAAAAAGGAAGAAGAGATTGAAGAAAACTGAAAACAGAAAACAGAATAAAGAGTGTAAACCAGGGAAAGCAAAAATTGAAACCAACTGTGGAGCGACAAAAAATCAAACAAAGTTTTTTCAGCAAAACAAAAAAAATCGCAAAGACTTTGGAGATTTAAAAATAATAGGTATCAACCTATTATTTTTAAATCTCCAAATCATAAGTCTTTTCGTTTTTTTCGTACTTCTGTTAAAAAGTGACAAATTCACGAATTAATCTATAGTTTGCTCTATAAAAAAAGTGTTTTTTTGTTGAATTAGCATCTTTTTAAATGAATTTCGGTTCACTTTCAAGCAAATTCGAGAGTGAAAAGCGCCTTTTTCGTAAAAATCTATAAAAAACTCTACGGAAAAATTGGCTGAATGAATTTCTCTGAAATTTTGGCGAAATCAAAACCCCACATGCGACATGGTCACCCCCTTCGGATTTCCTTTCCCTTCGGGTTGAGAGGTCTTCTGGAGGGCAGTCTGGTGGTTGTGGCCCCAGTTCTTTAAAGTGACAAGCCACTCCTTCATCGTCATCTTCCCTTCACCACCAAAAAAGCTATTTAGTTCCCCATTGAGCTTAGGGTTAGGGAGCCGTCTGTCATGACGTGGTTTAAGTTAAGATATAGCCTAGTATTGTGTGTGTCGTTGTATTGTGATTGATATATTTCGTGTATGCGATAAATTCACCACTGGTAGCCCCAGTCGGTATTTTTAAATATCAAACGTTTTTTTTCTCTATCTTTTATCTATTGACACGAAGATAGGTTTTCTTTAGCTAAGGTGTCTAAACCGCATCATCGAGTTAGCCCTTTTTGACTACCCGACTTCATACTCTCAAGAAAATCCAGGCATTAAATATTTTTAAACCCGTTTTAATGTTATTTTGCAGAAAAATAATTGCTTTTTCTAATGAAATCAACCGTAGTTTAATTCGTGCATTTGTTGGCTTGAAACGGCAGACGAAAAGGAACAAAAGCACTTATGCATCAACCTAATATAATAAATTGATCGATTATTACAAATTGTTGAAAGTTTAAGTAGTTGAAAGTTGAAAGTTTGGTGAAGTTTTGAGTATTCTTTAGCCAGCTCAGCTCAAAAGCAAGGGATCTGGATCTGGTGAGCGAAATCCGTAGACAATTTGTCTATAGGTGAGCGCGGTAGACAATTTGCGTTAACGCAAGAAATCGCAGATTGAAAACTCTAAACTTTTCGCAAACTTTTGATCGATCTACTATTAGCGAGGATCCTTGGGCCGATTAGCAAATATAGCCTTAGGAAAGAGGGGGTAATTGTTGCCATAAAGGGCAAATAATCGATTGGCATTGATGCGGAGAAAAGGAAGGGAAGAGATGTGGATTGTGGGGGGTAACAGATGTGTAATTCGATGAAAAGTAACAATAGTCTTTTCTTTAATAATTCTTCATGGACATCAACAATCGTTCATGACAATTGTTCAACAAATGTTTAATCAATATCTGTGAATCATCGATGTATCTCGTTCGCTTCCGAAAAAAAGTGCAATCAAGTTGTACTCAAAATTTTGACCCAAAATCGATCAAATCAAACAAAGAATAAGATCGTATTAGAAATTTGTCAGGTGCAAGCGCTGAGTACTTTGTACTGTATTGTATTGTATTGTATTATGTTGTATCAAAGTTTTAGAAAGATCTGAACAATTCTTAATAATGGTCAAGAGAAGATCTGGTTGATTCCATTGGCCTTCTTAAATGGACAACCTGTTTCCATTGGCCTTTTTAAATGGACAACTTGACTCCATTGGCCTTTTGAAATGGAGAACTTGATTCTATTGGCCTTTTTAAATCGATAACTTGATGCAATTGGCCTTTTTAAATGGACAACTTGACTCCATTGGCCTTTTGAAATGGAGAACTTGATTCTATTGGCCTTTTTAAATCGATAACTTGATGCAATTGGCCTTTTTAAATGGACAACTTGATTCCATTGGCCTTTTTAAACGGACAAGTTAATTTCATTGGCCTTTTTAAATGGATAACTTGTTTCCATTGACCTTTTTAAATGGACAACTTGTTTCCATTGGCCTTTTGAAATGGACAACTTGTTTCCATTGGCCTTTTTAAATGGACAACTTGTTTCCATTGGCCTTTTTAAATGGACAACTTGACTCCATTGGCCTTTTGAAATGGAGAACTTGATTCTATTGGCCTTTTTAAATCGATAACTTGATTCCATTGGCCTTTTTAAATCGCTAACTTGATGCAATTGGCCTTTTTAAATGGACAACTTGATTCCATTAGCCTTTCTAAATGGATAACTTGATTCCATTGGCCTTTTTAAACGGACAAGTTAATTTCATTGGCCTTTTTAAATGGATAACTTGTTTCCATTGGCCTTTTGAAATGGACAACTTGTTTCCATTGACCTTTTTAAATGGACAACTTGATTCCATTGGCCTTTTTAAAAATTAGCATCTTTTAAATTGATCAAGAATCAGCTATCAAGCATCAAATTTTATAGCAAAATGAAGAAAATAGAAACATCAAGCATTTATCATTCGCTTACGAGTTCAAGTTTTATCCAAAATTTGCTCTCTTCAAGTACAAATTGGGTTTCT